GATAAATGACTGAGTGCTCTTGAGTGAATTTTCTTTTTCTTTTTTCTTTCCTTTTCTTTTCTTTTTTTTTTTACTAAATAAGAACTTGAGGAAAAATATGCAATGAAGCAATGTATTCAGGCTAAGCAGATTTTCTTCTTAAAGAAAACAGTACTCTAACAGAGTTAATGCCTTAAAAAACTACAGAAATATTTTAAAATTATGACAGATATATTTATAGAACTATTAAATGTGATATACAGGAAACACAAATTTCTTAAAGGGACATTTTAAATCTTACAATAGAACCACCTAATAAAGTAATATAAAGAAGGGGGGATTTTCAAATGTTTAAATCTAAGAAGGAAATAATACTGCATATTACAATGAGTATCCAATTCAGGATGAGGGCTAGAAAGGACAATCATATTACTTCTGTCTAACCTACTTGGATCTACATGCCAACTGTAGATAAACAGTAATTCCTAAATGATGCCCTCATATCTGCTAACTTCTCCTTTCAACTTCACTCCTACTTTCTTATAAAGGGTATCCAGAAGGAACAAAGGGTCTTAGGGTCTATGGGTCTTAGGTGATGAATCACAGTGGAGGGAAAGAAGGGATTATAACAGTTCTCTCTCTGGATGTGCTCAGACTTGGTGCTAAGTGTGTTTTATGCTAGAAACTACAAAGCATGGGGCCAGTCAAAACCTCAGAGAAAGGAACCTGAGAAACTAGATGCTTAGGTGTGGCTCTGGTCCAGACTCTTAAGGCTGGATGTGGAGGACACACTATGAATATCTTACATTGACCAGGCAGTCTGTAGGGAGAAAAGCAGATAGAGATTATGCAAAAAGGACATAGACACCCTGACAAAATGTGACTCTAACTGGAGTACCTCCCCTATTGGGTATCCCAGAAACTCAAGTGAGGCAACCTAGTATGGATCTAGATCTAAGTTAGGACAGGAAAACTTGACAGTAAGCAACTTCCTAGGAGCTGGAGGGCAGGCTCCAGAGAGGATGGCAAAGGATAAGAGAGAGAATTATATTATTTTTGAGCACTGATTCTAAGGGTTGTGATTTATGCAGGCTATTTAAAGAGAAAAATGTGTACTGGAGTCTGACTGCCTGGGTTTGTATTCTGACTTCACCACTTATTAGCTACAGAGCAAGCTACTAAGCACTGTGCCTTTGTTTCCTATCCTCCCTATTGTACAGGGATACTAGCACAACCCGTATAGAGTTCATGATGATTAAGACAGTTAATATGTAGAATACTTAGAACGTTGTCTGGCAACCACCTTGCCTTTCAGTTACTAGTACTCTTTATCTCAGCTTCACTGAAGGATTATTAAGAAAAAAGAAAAATGAATTTAGGCTAATCTATTTCACTTCTTGTCAATCAGCTCTGGCAAAAGATTTGATGAATTTAAACTTAAACAAATGAGACTTGAGGATTGCTCTGTCTTCACTTGAACTGCCTTTTATTATGTTCATATTTTCACTGTCCACCATTCCCATGAATAATTTAGAAAGGGCTGCCTAACACTTTTGGAAACAAAAATATTTGAAGTAAAAAAACCAACAGATGGGTAGAGCTGTTTTGAATAAACACAAGGGGAAAAAGAATCCAAAAGCTACTATACTTATACCACAAATAGGAAATTCATATTAGAGAGAAGTCAAATGCAAAGAAAGACTACTGTGCTTACAATGGATTTAAAACATAATTAGCACCCTTAAATGCATACCAAATTAAATATAAAAATACACAGAAAATCTAAGCAGTTATGCTAACGCATTCAATAATAGAAACAGAAGTTAAAATGCTTTTTAATTATATACAAGTATAATTAGAACATTTTCAAACACATACAGAGAAAAAGAGAAAGTCAAAGTCGATTATTTATTAAGTCAAAGAATAAGAAACAAAACAGAACTGAAAGATTTAATACTATTCATTTTTCCTAAATTATAATCTAGAATTAGAAAAAAAGGGACATTGTATACCTAAACTTTAAATATTTAGTTGACTTTTACTGAAAGTTATAACATTCCTATAATAACTAAAAATTAGTGGCTCAAGAAAGAGTGAGCACCTATCACCAATGTACTAGCAATATTTACTAAGTGGAAAAATCAACTGAATTATATAAGGACTATGAAGTGCACTCTAAATGGGCCCTCATTGTTTAAAGGCTGGAACACAAAGTAGTCATCCTGGACCAGTTTTGGTGTGCAGCCTGACTTTTACTTTGGATGCAATACTTGCAAACATAATTATGTTATTGATTTAAGAACACTCAAAGGAAGAATGCATAATATAATGAATTTGCATGGCACAGATCTTGCTATGCTAATACAATAGCTTTTTTGAGATAACAGAGAGTGGATAAAGGGAGCTGGATAGACAACGTTTATCTACATTTTCGCAATGCTTTCAACTCTGTATTGCGTATCAGCATGCTGAGAAATTAAGAGATGAATTGTATAAATGATGTGACAGAGTGAATTACTAGTGGCTTACAGACTGAAAATAAAGGATTTTTATTCTTTCAGATACAGAAATATATACACACATGCATACTGTTCTATCTCAGGTTTCAATTTGCAGTTAGACTATATGAAATAAAATAAATGTAGCTTATACATTAATCACTTTCAGAGAACTGTTAATTTGATAGCATTCAAGTATCTAGACAACTCAAGAGAAAAAAATTGGAAGCAAACAACAACAACAGAATCTGGCAAATAGTTTAGCAAATTTTGACAGTTATTTTGACATTCCTTGGTTTAATTTTGCATGGTCTAATTCATTAGAGCAATAGCTTAATAGGTACGGGCCTGTCTTAGAAAAGCCCTTAACAAAGTTGGGTAATACTTTCAATGAGATTATTTGGAATCCCATTGCAAGCTCAAAATAAGCTACTTAGCATGAATTTAAAAGAATAAAGGGAAATTGGTCATTGATTTATTCATTCATCATGCAACAATTCAAGAAACTGAGTTTCTACTATGTGTCAGGCACTGTGGATACTAAGTCCTCTATAATCCTGTAGTTTAGTTAGTATGCTAGATTTTTAAAGATGCTAATTAAAACAGCTACGATTGGAGGAATATGCTTTTTCAACAATTCTCAGGAACTGAAAGAAAAAAGGCACTGCATATTGCAGACTAAGTATAAGGTCAGTTTGATTTAGTGAAAAGTCTAAATTAAAAATTACTTTAGAAAGAATTATAATATAACGTTCAAGTATCTAAAGTTACTTAAGGAATTCTTAACCAGATGTCTTTTAAAAGATGCTTAGAGCTAATTTAATGGAAACAAGAGAGACGTAGAAATATCAACTGTCAACATGTAAATGAGGAGTTCTGAAGTATTAAAAAAGTTTCTTTTATTAAGATAAGCATTCATATTATATTTTTTCATAAAAACAAATCACCTTGCAATTTCAATATCTGTGGTTACTCTCACTGCCATTCATTTTCAACTGATTAAGACTCTAAGATCTGAATTAATAGGATTAGGCTAATAACTACTACAACATATTTCACTGTGTTGCTTGCTCATAAGTACTACACATGTGATTTATAGTACCACAGTGTTTTATAAGGGCCATTATGTTATTAATTAGTTACATTGATCAGAATGCCACACAACATAGCAGTACTTAAAAATTATAATTTGCTTAGACTGCTTTGTAGTTAATCTTATATCTACCTGTACTATGGGCACATCGTAAGGATAACTGAAATCAGATAGCTTGCTTTCACTAACAATGCCAAGAGATCCAAAAGAAGATAATTCTATTGAGGAATCTTGCTATTGAAATTCATTTTTTTTCTCAGTATACCATAAAATTAGTTGATCCCGGAAAAGAGCATAAACCCAGGATGTCTGGGGGCCAAATAAGGTAAGAACACTATACTATATGCATATAAATTCATCCACATTTAGTTTGAATGTACTTATTTGTAGGGATCTGCCACTTAAATCTACAGGTTTTTTTTTTTTGGCTTGGTTTTGAGGATGGCTCTGATGGGACTCTGCTTTTAAGCATTCGAAACCATTATACTTTGGGTTTTACTGAATCTCAGCTTCCATGTAGTGGCTGAGAAGTTCAAATTATCTTCTGGTTGTTACAGAAAACACAGGTACCTACTAAGGCAAAAATTTCAACTTTCAGATTTTGACTACAGCACTCAAAGTCCAAATTCTTGCACATACCAGACTTCAACTTCTCAAAAGCTCACAAGAGGAAAAGTTACCCTGTGAAATTAGCCAGTAAAGTGACATAATTGCCAGTCTAAGCAGATCATCAATGTAACTCACTGAGAAAGATTTGACTGAATCTTGCTTTAAGCACTGTAATTTATAACAGTATATGTATATAATCCCCCTGTGAAGAAAAAAAGGTAAAATTTTCACTCATGTAAATCACAGATAGCAAATTAAGGGGAAAATAAAAATTTGTTAGAGGGGATAAAAATGTGTTAGATTTGTTTCAGTAATATTTTGGGGGAATTGCCTAAATGTTGCTTTTTAAAAAGAATAATTATCTTTAAAAATTAAGACATGGATTTCACATTATGACTATTTATGACATTTTGAATTTCAATGTTCTCTCAACTCTTAAAAAAGTTTTATTGGCAAGAGGACTTTTCTTCATCACTACTGAAATATTTCACAATCTATGGATAAGGTTCAATCTATTTCTGTGACTGATTTTGGTAATTTTTTAACTATAAAAGTCAGAAGGAACAAGCCAACATCAGCACTACTATATAATCTTATCTCCTCCCAATTTCCCAGAATACATAATAGGATGCTTATAAACTAATCTTATGAGAGCAAACATTAGTGTCCAAGACAATGAACATAGTGTGATATTGTGTCATTATTTTGGTTCATGAAATAGCATGAAGTAACCCTTAAGGCATTAGATTATATTCTATGGTCTATTCAGGAAATACAGCCAAATAGTGATTTCTCAGATAAAAATGAACACATGCCTTTACCTTCCTCCTTTCTTCTCTTTGCTTCTTCCTCATTTCTTTCTTTGGCTTTCAATGCTTCATCAGCTTTTG